TTATTCCTCTCTTAGAAGGCTAAAATCGAGTTTCGATACCCGGGGTGGGCAGAAACATATATAGCCCATTGTGTGGCTTTAAGCTTGTTTGTTTAAAGTTAAGCCCAAATCTACACAACGGACAATCTGTGCTCTGCCCACCACGGGTATTGAAACCCGGATTCTAGCGTTGTGAGTTCGCAGACATACCGCTGTGCTACTGGGGGCTAGCTTTAAACTTAAGAACGACATAAATAAATGGCTTTTAATGAACTTATATTTATAAAATGAGCACATTTACAAAATCATAAGCATACAGCCCAAAGTTCTTGGATATTAAACATCGACTACAATAAGTTTCCTTTAACATAAAAAATGATTAAGTTTACTATTAAATCCATTCTCTTTTTACTTGAAAAATAATTTTGTTCAACATTCAATCTTTAACTTTATCCTGTAAGTAAACAATTATTTTGTTTAATATTTACTTCATAACTTTCTCCTGTAATTTAAACAACATTTTTGTTTAACTTTTGATCTTGTAGAAGAAAACATACTTTCAGTTAGTTTAAAATTCATTCCATACGTATTATGAGCATTTCTTTTATTTTATTAACATTTATTCCATTACTCTCTTGTATAACAATTTTCCAAAAACATCTTTCTAATCTTATTTAATATGTTAAGCCAACAATCTCTACTAAAAACAAAAAAAATTCAGTCATTACTGCGCAATATGAATAAAAGAAAATGATATGATACGATTTATGATATGTAGGAAACTGGTAGGTGAAAATTAACTTCTGCATCCTAATGCATTCCTGTTTTGAGACACCAGCTTTAATTATAGACTTTCAAATCGAATATTTCTTTAATTACCTTATGACAACATAGCTTCTGGAAAATTGTTTACACAAATGATAATTTATTCCTCAGACATTTCACAAGTATGCAATAAACTTTTTTTTAGAGTGTATTTCTAATCTAAGGGCGCTATCAAATGCTCCTCTCCGTTCGGTGTAAGGCAGCTATTTTATAAAGACATTTATGAATTATAAAAATATTTCAAATTATGCATACAGCAAAAAATTCTTGGTTATTAAACATCAACTAAAATAAGGATACTATCTATCTCCGCTTGTCATTTTTCTTGTTATTGAACTACTCGTTACTTGTCTTCGTCCATATAAAAACATTAAAGAATATATTATAATACTGTTATACTTAGATGATTCTACTTTAACTGAATCTATATATATATATTAGCTCATGTGTATTTTTTGGACAATATCGGCTTGAGATAAATAGAATCTGAAGAGAGGAAAACTTTTAAACTACTCTCTTGATTTTACCTATTTAAATAAAAAAGGAGATATAATTGAAGTTTTAGTGATATTGATTTCATACGACTGTAAAATATACCATGAATTAGTCTAGAGTTAATTCGTGACAAAGTTTAAATTGAGTTAAAGTTTTTTTCTCCTGGAAATAATGAAATATTCAGATAATAAAAAAATTATAATTTTTAAAGTTTATTTTACAACAAACTTAACCCGGTCTCAGAAGACTGTCAGAATGCTTAATATTAGAATCTGTAAAAAACTCCTAAATTATCTAAATAAGGGTTTTGGACATTAGTGGATGTGAATACCACAAACTAGTTAACCCCAAGTTGGGCGCCATTTTTTCTTGCGGTAATTTCAGTATATTAACTTCCTCACATCGGATTCCAACTCGAAACATCTTGAGCTTTTGTTCTACTTGTATTGATTTTTTAAGTGTGGGGATCATTTATGGAAAGACGTAGTTAATAAGGACGAGCTTTCATAAATGGTGTAAGAGAATTATCAAACAAATTTATTTCTTAAAAACACTTCTTGCAAACATTTTGAGAAAATTTCTCCAGGGAAGGTTTTTATATAAACATCTTTAACTCACATGTTCAAACCTGGAAATAATTACTGTGTACACAGGTGATACACATGGAGAAAGAATCACAAACAATGAGTAATTGAAACTAAATGGTCACTTTATCATTAGTCCAATACATTATTACAGAAAATACAAAAGCAGAATTAAATGTTGTACAATATACTAGTATTTTTAATTTGCTTTAAACAAAACAGCAGACCTTGACTTTATGCTCCCATAGGCTTATCAATGCTTGTTTGGAAAACTATGTTCTAAATGTCCTGTATTACCCTCCACTATTCAGCCAAGTTGTTTGGTTGCTACTTGACTTTTTCATTTTCCATATAAGCCCATACAGCCTTAATAATATTCTTATTGGGACTTTTTCCGTGTTTCGTCAGCCTATTTTGACTTCTGTGTACCATTTTCTGTATGCTTGGGATCACTGTCTTGCTGGAAGATGAATCCCTGCCCAAAAAATCTTGTATGAATTAGAATCCGTTTGTACCTGTTTACATTTAGGGTGCCATCATTTTCTGTAGATTCCGAACACCATTGTCTGAGAGGTAGCACACTCTTATATTGGTCCCCAACGTGCTTCAATCTAGATTCACTAAGTTGACCGTGATACTGTTCGCCTTTCTGCAGTTGAAAAAACTATCATTTATTGTTGCCAAACAATTTCATATTGGATGTTTCGGTACCGAACACCCTTCTCCAGCTATGCTCTTCCTATTGTTTGACGTATGATGTCAATTTCAGTATTTTGTTTAAGAGCTCCTACCCATCTACTTAGGCCACGTGATATGTACCACACTTTTTTGGGGGGCGAAATTCTCTTCTATACTGACAGCCAGATCATTGGCAATATTATAATGGATTGTTTTAAATCACATAAAGAGCCCTGATTAGGCTCTTTAACATTACTTTGGGCTTTCTATCTCAACCGCTTCTATCATCAACAATACTAGTTTCACGTGCCTTCTTCAGTTTTTAAATAAAACAAACGCTAATGAAACAGAAAATTTACCCTAATCTATTGTATACAACAACTCCACAAGCCGAAACTTTGAACTATACACGTTTGTTATGTGACATTCTGCCCTTGGAGACATGAATGCAGCACCACACTACTGCTAGGAGTTATATGAATGATTGTACTTTTGTAGGCATTCTAACGGTGTGGTACTTACCTAACTGGTTAGATGACTGCAAATCACAGTATAAAGTATTAAGACGTGGTTTTACTCTGGTACAATCCTATAATATTTACTATTCCTACTTATTTTCTTCATGTTTCCATGTGTGTGTCTAAAAACAGCTGTTTTACTTTCCTCGTGTATTAATTTATGACATTGTGTATTTCTTGTTCACTGGTTGTGTAAAACTGATTTCGTTAATTTATATGTATTTTTAGTTCTGGTTTACAGAGTTTGTTTACTTTTGATCATAAATTTATTTTTTGGGGAAAAAGTGACATTTGTAATTTGAACACAATCCCAAATAAGTTTAGGTTTAAACCAATTGGTGGACTTAAACCATGTGTAATTGTGTAGAAAAAACACCCATCACAACGATACCATCAACTGAAACATTTCCACAGTTGTCTGTCATGATAAACAAGATTGTCTGGATCCAAAAATAAAAGGCTGATGGTAGATATAAATCATATTGAGATGTGGTAGGCTGATAATATTAGAAGACATTCACCTGTCTTATTCCAAGTCACAGCAAAGAGAACCAAAGAACTGCTCTGTGGGTTTTTATTGACTCTCAAATTACCAACTTTTTTTTTTCTGTTCACTACCGGTGGGGTTCACATATTGGAACTTACAGAATATTTTTTCTGCGTGTTACAGTACTTGAAGTAAAGAACTGACCAACAAAACTGGGCGAATTCAATCATTTTGTAGGTTAGTAAGAACTCTGTAACCAACAAAGTCATGGATGGACTCATCAGTATAATAATGTCAAAATATGTCAAAGCCACATTGGTAATTCTAGTAACCCCCAAACTTTGAAATTTTGAAAAGAAATGTAATTCCGTTGTATATATTATGTCTTTGGTGGAAACCAAAATCTCAAAACAAAAAATGCTTGAGAAAAGTTTGGCAGTTAAAAACATAAAATTGTTTTTTTAATATATATTACTTTAGTGAGCCTTAACTGCGATTACTGGTCTGCTATAATATTACAAAGTCATGTACTCAAACCTCCATTCAACCATATTATGCTTTAATTCCAATTACGATCAACCTGTCATAAAAAAATTCAGATATTCTTCTTCACCCGCACAAAATCTTCTGGAGGTCAAGCTACTTTGCCCACACTACCGGTGAGGTCAACATATTGCATCATAAAGAATATCTGTTTTTGTTTTTGCGTGTTACAATAGCCGAAGTAAAAAACTGGCCAATAAAACAAGGCTTAATAAACGTAGTGGACACAACGCAGTAGCCCATTGCACAACTTCACGCTTAAAAAACAACATAGCAAAATTACGATAAAAAATTTAAGATAAATCACGTTTAATAAAAAAAAGACAAGTTTGCCGAATTTTGCGTGTAATAGAATGTACGAATTAGCAAAAGTTTAGTTAGAGTTACTTTAATACGATATTTCGGCTTCAGCAAAGACGATTCGCAACATGTACAAGAGAAACATCAGAACAGAGTAAGCGCATGAAAGTGAATACCGCGGAAATAAAGCACTAATGACCATTTTACAGATCGCAGTTTGTCAGGAGTCTATACAGAGTGCGTTAAGCGTAACGTTGAGTACTTCCTTTCTTTTACATCAGTTTATGCGTCCTGTTCATAAAACGGCTTCCAAAACGCGAATATTATTCATTGATCCTCTACAAAATTTAGACATTATCAGCTAACTTGTTTAGAACTTGAAAATATTTCATATTAAAAGAAGCAATTTAACCTTATGTGATTTTTCTTAAGCGAGGTTTTATTTTCATGAATATTTTATTTTTTAGATTTAATTTTATCTTTTTTTTTATTGGAACTACGAGCTTTTATCTAAAATCCTTCATAATAAATTTGCGCTTACAGTCGAAAAGAATATTTAGATAAATAGACAAATACATAGATTCAACTTACTAAGGCGGTTCTTGTAAGCCACTTTTGAGGATTCCGTGTCGTCTTTGTACAAACGCAGGTAACGTAAGGAATCATGATTTCAGAGATCTGATAGATTCTGTTATTGAATGAAGCTTGTCGGTTTTATTTTTTGTTTGTTTTCTGTGGGTTAAAGTTTCACAGGATTTATATTTATAGTAAAACTAGGCCTAACAGACATCCAAAACCGATAAAATGGCCCGTCGGTGTGATGATTACTGGCACATCTTCAAGCCGGGCTGGTCTACATGAACAACGACATCAAGCGACCTAAACCCGGGAACTCGAGCTAGATTTGCAGGCCATCGTTTTTGCCGCAGGACGCATGCTTCAGAAAGCGCGAGAGCACGTGCCAAGTTGTAAGATTCTCTCTGCATGTTCGCTGTCTCATCAACGACTGCAGAACGCGCACAGAGCAACAAATCTTCAGATAGCAGATCAAGTAAATAGTTATCATATTCTGTCGAAATACACAAACATGCATTTTTAAATAAACCGTCAAAACAAAAACAACAAGATAGTCCTCGTTTTTGTTCTATTTAAAGTGAACTTGTCTTTGCAGTATAATAAAAAATAAAACTTATGAAAGTCTCACCGGGGTTCGCCGCCATGCTCACTCAGAGGACTGTAAGGACCAGCAGGGGGCACATCCTCATCATCTCCAAAGTTTACTATGAAAAAGAAAACTATCCCTAACCAAAAGAAAACCATTAAAATAGAAGTATCATATAAGTACGGTTATATTTATATTTTGGAGGTTGTGATATTTAAATCACAATAATAAATATTGGCCTAGGACAAACTTCAACTAGGGCTAGAATATATTTTCTTGACGGAAATCTATCAATCTATGTAGAACATATTCCGTGCAATAATACGTTTTTTCCAAACCGAACTTGTAACAGGATGTTCCAGAGAGCCGTATTTCTTATCCATGTAAAACATACAAATAGGGTGCTCAAATGAAATGTATTTCTTATCTATGTCAAAATTTTAAATAGAGGGCTCAAATGAACTGTATTTCTTATCCATGTAAAGCTTATAAACGGACAGTAAACCTAAAAGGCGATGTGTCCCCGCCGCTAAATAGGACTAGCGTTTTAAGATTCCTCTTGTAGGTTGCCTTTGAATTTATTTCTTGGCCATATGGTCGACCTTTGTAACACAAACACCCACACACACATTCGAATTTTAAAAACTTCAAGAAAATGTTAAATAATTTCTAAAGAATCCTATTAAAAATATAAAACTTATTTGAGTATTATGCTTTTAAAAGTTTAATTGAATTTGAAAATTTTCAAACAAAATAGCATCTTAAGTTGAACGGTCACGGCAGAGACCCCTATAGCTTAGGTATAACCGTTCCTAATTTTGAACGCCTGCTTCAGCAAGGGATTTGTCCGGTTCTCTAAATTTAAAAACGAAATTGACTATCTTTTTTTTTTAGAACTTGGCCACAGTTGAAAGGACGAAGCGTGTTTAACGATAATAGGTTTCAAACCCTTGATTTCACAATATGTAGACCGATATACGAACCATTAGAGCACGGACAGTGTAGTAGTTTTGAAAGGAATCAAACATGTAGATTTTCAAGTATCTCTTGCTATTGTCTTGAACACGTTCTTTAAGAATTCGATTATCTTGAGACCTTAACCAAAAAATCTATTTGGCTGAGAATACATTCTATTTAAGGATCAAAATATAATATGATAGTAGAGAAATTATGCATACACAATTAAAAACGACCACAGTACAAGAACTATTTCGTCAAACGTAATCTATTGATTCATTTAAATGGCAAGTGCATAAAAAGTCTCGACTCTCGTTCTATGATATAGTCACCAATTCGTGAGCAATTATAAAAAAATAATTGAAGTTTAGTGAGACGAAAGTTTTAATTCTAGATTCTGAAGTTTGACCTCCTGAAAAATATAGTAAAATAAATTATTAAAAATAATCTTAATGGAATTACAAATTTATGATCAGAAAAGATGACTTTTCAAAAAACAAAATAGTCCGTCAATGGCTCAGCGGTAAGTCCGTGAGCTGATAACACTAAAAATCGTGTTTCGATACTCGTGCTGAGCACAGCACAGATAGCCCATTGTGTAGCTTTGTGTGTAACTACAAATAAACGAACAACTAAAACAAAAGAAGCCCTTGTCAGTATCATGCTGTTGCTGCAACAAACGACCATACAACTTTAGGTTTAAGTGAATGAGGGTTTGTGATTTATTTATTTTTTACTTTGATGTGTACGTTACCTGTAATTCTAATATTTATGGAATTATTTTTAAATGTTTTTAATATAATTTTTATTAGCAAAAAAAGTTAATTCATGATTTCTTATTTAACTTGAACATGAAATTTACTGTTTCTTTTTGTTTATTTCTCCTGTGGGTTAAAGTTCCACAGGATTTATATTTATAGTAAAACTAGGCCTAAGTGTTATCCAAAACCGATAAAGTGGCCCGTATGTGTGATGATTATTGACGCGTCTTCAAGCCTGGCCGGTCTACGTGTAGTATTTTTAGCTTAAAAGTTATTGTTTGTTTCTTGTTAGGTGTAAAGCTACATAATGGACTATCTATCGAAACCGTGTTTTTAGCGTTATAAGCCATCAGAATCGCCGCTGAGTTACCGAAGGTTTAGTTTAAAAATAAAAATAAGTTATCTAATGTAGAAAACCAAATGGTTTTATTCAGAGATTCTGATAATTATGACAGTAAAACGTTTTGGTAATTATTGAACCAAATTTATGGTAATTGCTGCAACGTTTAATAATTCTAAATTTTCTTAAAAACAAATATACAGATGGTACTACGGTTCACGTTGCTTAAAGTATTGTTAATCCTATTAGTTAGTAATTAAACCAAAGCTACACAATGGGCTGTCTGTGCTCTGCCCACCACGGGTATCGAAACCGGGTTTCTAGCGTTGTAAATCCGCAGACATACCACTTTGCCACTGGGGGGCGTTATTATTATTAAAAATAAACATAAATAAAAAGATCTGTAGTGTCTTTCTTTTTTGCTGTGCACATGAGTATTTCGATATGTTTGACTTCATTGATCATGTGTTTTTCTAGGGTCTTACAAAATATTAATCGCATACATCTTTTTATGTGTGTATAGTTAAAGAAAGGATAAAACTCTTTTAACTACTAATAAATCTTTACAGTATGAATCAAACACTTTTTGCTACTCAACTGTAATATCGTAACATCTGTAATAACTGAATATCTTTGATGTTTCCACACCTACGAAGCAATTCTAGCGTTTATTTTAACATTTATAATTGGTTATGAAAAAAGCAACTTAAGAAATAAAACGTAACATGTTGTGATAATTACCGATACTTGATTTTTAGAGAAATAGACTTTCGTCGGATAAATTGCTATTGATATGACTCAGACTTTTACTTTTTGAAATTTGATTCAAAATTAAGTGTAATTAAAATCAGCAAATATATTTTTTCAGTTGACTATGTTATAAAAGACGACCAAGTTAGAAGCGCTTAAGTATATTCTATAATGTAGAACCTATAGTTTAAAAAATTAATAAATAAAAACCTATTCTTAGATATCCGTAAGGCCCGGCATGGCCAGGTGGTTAGGGCGCTCGACTCACAATCCGAGGGTCGCGAG